AGTATAATTATCATATTAAAACATAACAGAGATATTCTGGGTAGGGAATAAATTAATGCATTTTCCTCAAACATTAACAAAACAAGAGAAAACTCTCTCGTGTTACTCTCAAAAAAGTATTGTCATTGCTGGCACTGCGGAGAGCATAACTGTAACCATTTATGTAATGGTTATATATAACCATATATTACCATTGAATGTGTCTATTTCCAATTCAGATTAAAGGAGATTAGCCAAGATGATTTGACTGGATCTTGTAATTCTGGGGAAAACTATAACACAAGTTTTTGTTCATGTTTGGATTTGAAGTAATGGCAGAAGTTGTCATGCAAATCTCATTGCTTTCAATGGTTTGTAATGCTTTCTTCAAACTGTTACATGTTGATGTAAGTCCAGAAAACACAAACTCTGGTTTTGTATTGTCTTAATTTTTTGTGTGTTATTTTGCAGAAACCTGCCATAGTAATATAGTCAACAGTGAGTTAACATGTACATTGGGGAACTGCCTGAAGTGTAGAGCAAGTACAAGTTGAGTTAGTCTGTCAAAAGCAAAGAAAGGCATGTTTGTTGTAGTTTGCTCTGCTTGGCTAGCCTTTTCTGGTGATTCTTAATCAGGGAAATGAATTCTGCGCTGCACATTGGGTTGGTTTTGTAGCTGAAAATTATGGGATGACAGTTCAGTTAATATATTCAGTTGAGAAAAAGACTTGACAATGGAGTTGAGTTGTACGTCTGATACTGTTATTTGAAACTGTACGTATCTACGCACGGATGTGTGCCGCGCATCCACAAAGTGTATAATCAAAGCAATTTCTTTTTGTAGGAGTCAACAAAGGTTTCTGAGTTAAATCCTAATGCAAAAGTCTGGGGAAATCATATGTTACACTTGGAAGCGGCTGGTGCCACTGATGGTAGTGTGAGCAAAACGTGGGAAGAAATACCAGACCAACCTCCAGATTCTTGTAAAGAAGGTATGAATAAGAGTTTCTACCTGTTGCTCAAGTGAAAGGTAAAATTCAGTGTAGAACTCTCTCAGTTTTACTTTCCTCTTTAAAAAAAAAACAACCAACAAACATATGTAAGCAACTTCAGATTGAGTTTTAATGACTGTGTTACTATGATTGGAAGGAATGTTTTTTGAGTGTGTTTGTCATATCTGCCGCAGGACTGGATGCCAATAGTGACGGTGACAAAAAGCATCAGAATGCAGTGCTGACAGAGCTGCAGGAGCCGTCACCGGCCGTTTCGGTGTCAGACCAGACAGATATGAACCCTTTGACTCTTGATCATTCTGACTATGAGTCTATGCATGAAACCACTCAGACAGGTAAGAGAGCACTGCTATTTGCTTTGACGTAGTTTTAAAATCAAAAGCAAACAAATTAGTTTGACTTGAACAGTGAGCATCCATTAGAAAAGAAAAAGACAAATCTCCAAACTGAAAAAGCTACACCACTTTAGGTGTTCAATATAAACATTCTGTAAACAGACCTCAGGAAAAGCCTGGCTCTTACTCTCAGGCTTAGACATTTTTGGTAAACTGTCTTCCTGATGAGCATTGTCCTTATGAGATACTGCACAGAATCAGTCATAAGATCTGGATATAACTGAGTATTGGTTTCTGAACTGTTACTCTAAACGCAAGTCCCTAGTGTAGATGATTACATTTAGATGTCTGCCTGTCTAAGCTCTGTATTTTTAGTTGGGTCAGGTACTGAGGTGAAACTCGCATACCATTTGTATCTCGAGTAGTAATGGTAATGGCTTCGAACATCAGTCATGTGCTTAAATTGCTAAAATAAGTAACAACTTACTGTAACTACTTTACAGTCTGTTTTAATGAACTTTCACGATTTTTTTGCAGTGCAACTGTTAGTAGGTGTAGTCTATACCAGATGGCATGTTTTAAGAAACTTCTGGAAACTAGCGTAGAGATTGAGGCATGCTTATATTTTACTGAATGGGACAGAAGGTGTGCAAGATTCATGTAGGATTACTGCTTGAACTGACAGGAGCGGTGGGAACAAGAGGAAAGTGGGCTGGGTATTTCTTTAGATACATAAGGTCTGCTCCTTGATCGTTGTGCTTAGCTGATTTCATGTATATAAAATGACCAGTATTGCATCCATAGTTGTTGGAAATCAAGACAACTGAATTCACACACGGTTGTGGCACCATCTTTGCTTGTCTTGGAAACTGAACGTTCTCTCTGACTCTTCTTAAGGGTACTCTTGGGGAATATTAAATAATAAAAACTGGCAAATAGAAAATATTAATGGTGCCTAACAGTCTAGAATGGAACCATGTTCCTTGGATTAGCATTAGAACTTGTCAGCCTGTCCTTTACATGCCCCAAATAGTGAACTTTTATTAAAACTCAGTAGTATTGTAAAGCAACTAACGCAGGTCAGATCTATTCCACTTGATGAATAGTAACGTAGGTGATCCCACTTGTAAAATAAGTTGGGTTTTTTTCCCCAAGTATTATTTTAAAAAAAAATGCATAAAATTGTGGTCTTTGCTACGTTTGGGGCAAGGAAGAAAGAGGAGATGGGGAAAGGAAATAGTGGTTAGTGCATGATATATGTATTTCTTGAGTGTTGGCATTATCTACATGAGAACAGAACATGTGAAGGACAAAACAGTGGGAGGAAATTAGAAGTTGCTTTAGGAAGAAGAAAGGTTAAGGAGAGCTGAAGAAAAAGATTAAAGTTACTGAAAAAGAGAAGGGTATAGAGAGTAATAGTTGGTGTGAAATACTTTCAAAAAAACCTAATTTCCATTTATGTAACATGTTACTGAATGTTTTATAAATCTCTAAAAGCCACACTAAACTTCTGATCTTTAAATAGTTCTCCCACTGACATGATTAGATTACTATAGTATGTTGGGTCTAAATCAAAACAAATATGAAATGTAGTGTTTTCCATGTGGTAGTTTTGAAATTTCCAGGTATAAGAAAAAAATATTTTTTCTTTCTTAAACAAGAGATTGTTAATTGATCACACAATCTGTTAATTGATTGGATATCTGCTGACATTTCATAACTACATTTTTGAAACTCTTTTCTGAATTAGTATGTTGTGAATTTAGTGAGGCCAGAAGTACGAAGTGCCCCCATTCCACTGCTTGCTTGCTCTATTAGCTGCTTTAGACAGAGTTTAGTCAGCTAGAAATTTGGTAGTTTCCTAAAACTGGAAGACTGATACATGAGTTAAATCAGTATTTATTTTGAGATGTGTTTGTAGCTGCTCATCCAAAACTGTTTCAAATGTTCATTTATTTGGAGAACAGAGGTTAACAAGTGAGATCAGACATGGTTTTTCTTTTCTGCCTTCAAAGTGTTCCTGTGCAATTTTGGTGGGTGGTGAACTAATACTCAATGAATATTAATTGAATTTGAAAATTTGTTACTGGTCATATGGCCAGTAATAGACATGGTGGCTTCATGAAAATATCTGTTGTGTAACATAGCAGAAATAAATTTTAAACTTAAGTGTTTTAATTACTAGGTGGAAATGAACAGTTGCAGTCAGAAGGTCAGGAAGATTTACGAGAATTACTGAAAAAAACACTGGAATTCTGTTTATCTAGGTATGTATATACCTAAAGGTAGCAAACTAACAAGATCCAGTACCTAGCTTGGGATGTATGTTAATATTTCTCAGCTGTCACTTAAAACTAAGTGGAAAGGATGAGAATTTGGGGGAAGTAACACAAAAATTCTAGAGTATCATATTGACGTGCATCTTAAAGCTTGCATAAAACTTCGGCCTAAAACATGACCTAGCAAATATATTGTTTTGAAGTAAGAGTAGTTATGAGAAATTAAAGAGCAAGTGAATTATGAGTGTTGCTGAGTTTTTGGAAGTTAAAACTGAGTAACTTAAGCTGTTTGTTAAGCTTTGTTTAAGCTAATAACTTTAAAATTTGCATTGACACAAAGTAGTATTTTTGTATGTGCATCTGTAGGTGGCTTTATGTATTAAGGATCAATTTATAACAAAAAAAGGGCTCTGAATCATTCATGTTCCAGTATAGATGGATGCAAGATCATCAAAGCAGTTTACTTATACTTATTTTCTAGTGGTTGTGTCTAAATAAAAACATCCTAAACATGTCTTAATAGCCTCAAGCAATTCCTAATCTGTACACTCCTGCATACCCAATTACAGTCAGTGGTCGTTTGAAGTCATAAACTCCTAATGGTATTACATGTTTGGGGGGATCATGTGCTGCCTGAACAGGAAGATGCCACTGCTGTTGCATGTAGCGAAAGAAAAAAATAAAAAACTACACGTTTTCTGTGAAGTGAAATTTGGTAGGTGAATGGACTCTGGGGAGTTGCTGAAAACAAAATTTAGTGTAGGAATCTGCCTTCTATGTGATGAGTTCTTATTTCAAGTTTATTGGCAAAAGTTGCATCTATGACACATTCTCATTTTTTTTTTCCCTCTCCCAACAGAGAAAATCTTGCCAGTGACATGTACCTTATATCACAGATGGACAGTGATCAGTATGTGCCAATAATGACAGTAGCAAACCTTGATCATGTCAAGAAACTCAGTACTGATATGGATTTGATTGTTGAAGTGCTGAGATGTAAGTAAAAATACTTCAGTGTTAGAAAGAATTTTGGTTATTGCTGCAGGACTGCTAATGCAGATTTTCTGTTTCTGTTTTTTATGTATCACAATAAAATGCCATCCTTTTTTGGTAAAACATTAAATAAAGCAAGCAGCTTCCAGTTTAGACCATTGCAATTATAGGAGTGAAGTTTTATAAAAACTTCTTCCCATCTGAGGTAATGATCTGTGTGAATGAGAATAGTGTGAGTTTAAACTGTGGGACATGGTGGGACAATCCCGTGACTGGAGGATTGTGATGGATGGCTGTAGGCTGTTTTGTAAAGACAGGGAAGAAAAGTTGTTGTTCTCTGTGGTAAGGAGAATCTTGAATGTATAAAAATCAACTGCAGCAATTGTGGAAGTCTGAGTTAAGATCAGCGGGGTTGTCTCCAAGGGGAATCTTACAGTAGGCACCTGCTACTGGCCTCCAAACCAAGACAATGAAGAGAGATTTGGAGCGCTTAAGCAATCTTTGGCTCAACAAAACCTGGTTCTTCCAGGTGGAGTCAACTACCCAGACATTTCTTTGGAGGAACAGTACTTCAGCTCACCTTTTGTCCACCAAGTTCCTGGAATGCATAGAGGTCCGCTCCCTCATACAAATGTTCGATGTGCCAACCGGGAATGAGATGCTGATGCTACTCTCAAACCAAGAAAACCTACTTTGTAGCATCTTGGTTAGTGATAGCCTTGGCTGCAGTGATCACAATATTGGGAAGTTTGGGATACTGCTGAGCAAATGGAAGGTTATTACTAAGACAAAGATTTTTAGAAGAACAAACTTCATCTCTTCCAGAGCTCAGTGGGGAGGAATTCTGTGGGAAGCTTCGATAAAGGTTAAAAGAGCTAGTGAGTCCTGGGAGTCTTTCAAGAATGCTTTGCTGGAAGCACAAAAACAGCTTATCTACTTTAAAGGTAGGAGAAGTAGGTGGAGGAAGAGAGTTAAGTACAAGCTTCCGAGTCTACTCAAAACCAAAAGAGAAGTGTACCAGAGATGGAAGAGCAGACATACCCATTGAGAACTACAGCAGTGTTGCCTGGGCGTGCAGAAAAGCAAAAGCTCAGCTCAAACTGAAATTGGAAAGAGATGTCAAAAGCTACAACGAAGGGTTCTACAGGTGTGTAAACAACATGCAGAAACAGAGGGAAAATGTTGGCCCACTGTGAAGCAGGAGAGGTGAATTAGTCACTGACAGCACTGAAAAGGCACAGGTCCTCAAAACTTTCTTCACCTGTCTTTACCAGCACACTTGAGCCCCAGGCCTTGGGAACAAAAGTGAGCGAGGGAAGAGTTGGTAGGTGAACTCTTAGAGGAATTGACCTCTACAGTGTCCGCTGAGGCTGTTAAAAGAGCTAGCTGATGTCATGATGCTCTCCATGATCTTTAAGTTGTGGAGATCCATAAGTCACAGAGTTCCAGCAGACTGTCCCCTCCATCTGCAAGGCGGGCTTCATGGAGGACCCAGGAATTGCAGGCCTATCAGTCATACTTTAGTCCTTGGGGAAAGTCATGGAGTGAATCCTCCTGGGGGCTGCCAAGATGAATGAAACATGTGACTGGGAAAAGCCAGCACAGATTCATGAAGGGCATATTGTGCTTGACAAACCTGGTCACCTTCTCTGACAAGGTAACCTGCTTGGTTGATGTGGGGTCAGTGGTGGATTTCTCCAAGGCTTTTGGTGCAGTTCCCCACAGCCTCCTTCTAGAGAAACTGATGTGTTATGACTTGGACAAGTGGCCAGTGCAGTGGATGGGGAACTGGCTGACACGCTGGCCCCAGAGGCTGGTGGTAAACAGCTCCCTTTCGAAGTGGCAACCTGTCACGGGTGGAGTCCCCCAGAGATCCATCTTGAGCCCAGTGCTACTTAATATCTTCGTAAGTGATCTAGATGATAGGATTAAACATAGCTTGATGAAGTTTGCTGATGATGCCAAACTGAGCAGGGAAGTGGACGCTTCAGAAGGAAGAGCCACCCTTCAGAAACACCTGGATAGGCTGGAAGGGTAGGCTAACAAGAACCTTACGAAGTTCAGCAAGGACAAGTGTAAGGTCTCGCACCTTGGAAAACATGAATAAGAGGTGCAGCACAGGCTGGGATCTGTGTGACCGGGGAGTAGCTGCCTGTCCTGGTGGACAACAAGCTCGATATGAGTGAAGAGTGTGCTGCTGCTGTGGCAAAGAAAGCCAACAGGATACTGGGTTGTGTCACCAAGGGCATCCCCATCAGAGATAATGAAGTCATCCTACTCGGCACTTGCCAGGCCGCACCTGGAATACTGTGTTCAGTTCTGGTGTCCGCTATACAAAAAACATGTGGGCAGGCTGGAAAGAGTCTGGAGAAGGGCCATGAAGATGATCAAAAGACTGGGAAGCTGCCATATGAGGAAAGGCTGAGAGAATCAGATTTGTTCAGCCTTGAGAAAGGGAGGCTTAAGGGAGACTTTACCACCATGCTCCAGGATTTGATGGGTGGCTGCAAAGAAGATGGGAATTCCCTTTTTACAGAGAGTCACATGGGAAGGAGGTAGTGGGTACAAGTTACTCCTGAGGATGTTCTAATTGCATGCAAAAGAAGACTTTTCACAATGAGAACAAGGAGCCATTGGAATAATCTCCCCAGGGGAGTGGTGGATTCATCGATGTTGGACACTTAAGATTCAGCTAGACCATATGCCTAGACCATACTTTTGCCAAGAAAGGTGGGACCAGATTATCCTTGAGGTCCTTCCCAATGTAGTATTCTATAATTAAAAAGCCACTGGTCGTTGCCACTAAGGTAAGAATCAAAAAAAATAATCAAACCCAAATATGACTCAGTTGGTGCTTTAGAGGAAAATACTAGTGAATTAAGATTTCCTAGGGTGGAAGAATGTGGAGATTTTAAGGAACATGTCTATTCAGTTTCATGTGTCTGAAAGCATCCTCAGTCATCTGCTTGTTTCTTAATGTTCAAAAATATTTAAAGTTTAGCACAAAAAGTTTTGCATTGTAAAACTGTCCACAGCATCTTTTGGTATGCAAAGCTATTATGATTGCTGACAGCTAAAATATGTTTGTCTTTCCTCTCTTAGCGTTGCCTTTAGTCCAAGTGGATGAGAAGGGGGAAAAAGTTAGGCCAAATCAGAATCGCTGTATTGTGATTTTACGTGAAGTACCTGAATCTACCCCCATTGAAGTAAGTATTTAATTGCTCAGTAAACAATGTTGTTCCATTATGATTCGGAAGATAGATTTCCTCCAGATTGCAATAAGCATATTGCATTCCTTACTACATCATTCTAGCAGTGTTTCTAAGCCTTAGTTTGTCTGTGTTTGGATAATAAATATATCTGATAGATGCATGTTGCTCATAGGAAGACTGTGGTAAAACCTGTGGCTCTGCAGGGGGCTGAAAGAAACTGGCAGTGCTCTGTTAGCTAGAGATACCGTAATTTTCCTGGGCTCTGGATTATCTATATGTACTTAGTGCTGACCTCCTTGTATAAATAGCAAATGAAGATGAGGGAAGATAAGACTTAAAGTGGAAAATGGCACTGCTGCACCTTAAAGCTTGTTGGGATAAAGTACTTAAAGCTTTGCAAACATTTCCCTAATGCTGTGAGTAAAGGTGTCAAGTCACTAAGGATCTCCGATGGCCTGTGGAGTGAATGTGAGAGTGGAGAGCTTGATTCTTTGGAAGTTATTCAGGGCAACTCTGATTTACCTGGGACTGTGACTAATGGAAAGATTAGAAAAAAAATGATTGGGCCATAGATTACACCATCTTGAGCTTTCAGAAAGAAGGCACAGATTGTTGGTAATGGGTGGATATTTTAATTTCTTCTCCACTTAATTTTACAAAGAAGAATGAAAATTCTCAAAGAGTTGCTCTTCTTGATAGTCTTCATACAAAAATGAAGTACTGCAGTTTAATAACTTGTAATGAAGAAGTGGCTTCAATAAACACGAAGCAAAAGGCTAACAAGAATTTGAGGGAAGAAGCTATGGTATATGGAAGATATGGCATATACATAGCTTAAAAATATCAGTTGCTTTTAGATTTCTAGATTAAATGTAACTGTTCAATGACTGCCTAGCTTTTAATATTACAGATTTTTTTTTTTCCCCTGCCATTTGCTTATGAGGTTGGATATATTAGAACTTGCACGATCACTCTAAAATGCTTAATGGCAACAAAGTTCTGAGGAGTCTTTATTTTCAAAAGAGGTGCTCTGAAGTGTTTCGTATGTTTTAAACTTGCCAGACTGGAAATCTAGACTTAACTGCCCAGATGTAATAGGATACGTTTTCTGGCATGGTATGGTCAGGATTTATTTCAGCAGCAAATTTCTGAAATACTGAGAGGCCTCCCAAAATGCATTGCTTTTTGATGCTTCTCTCTCAAAAATAGAGAACATGCAAATGGACTATAAAGTCCGAGGTGTGTGTTTTCTTCAGCAACTAGCTGATGAGTTTTGAGTTAATGTACACCCCGTTTCAAATATATTAATCTGTAGACACTCGAGTTGAAGGACGTATAAATTTTTTGCTGAAAGGGTGAGATTCTCCTACCCCGTGCAGGATGCGCAGGTTTCATGTGGCTCAATGAGTTTAGGGACAGGGGAAAATACTGTTCTGCACTTGATGCCAAATTTCAGTGTCTTTCTATGGCCTAAATAACCTCTCTGCCCTGATTTAAAGGGAGGAGGCAACTTCTATGTGAAGTATGGCCTTAGATGATGTTTGTTTGGATTCCTTCTGCCTAGCAGGGAGATTGGAGAGAGGTAATGCTACTGCAGGTGTTTGCAAGTTCTGAGTTTGGTTTTGTAAGCCCCAAAGTGCTTTTTGTCTTTCTTACCTGGAGTTTGAGTTCTGCACTTTAAACTGATATTTTCTTCTATCAATACTTTTTTTTTTTCCTCCCCTCCCATCCTTTTCTCTCCTTTCTTATGAAACCCTCTTTCCTTAGGAGGTTGAAGCACTTTTCAAAGGAGATAATTTGCCTAAGTTTATCAACTGTGAGTTTGCCTATAATGACAATTGGTTCATCACATTTGAATCGGAAGCTGATGCACAGCAGGTAACGCGTTTTTAAAAGCATTTTAGAATCTAATAGTAAACAAGGGTGGCATGAGGGTGGATTGACGGGATGTACAGTGAATTAGAAATGTGTAACCATTTAGGAAGAAGAAAACCTCAGAAAACAGTAATGCTTCCACTTAATTAATAAGTAGTTATCGATACTATTAAACATAATTCTCTTAATAGTTTTATCATGTCACATATCCTGGCTTCCTGACCAAAGGTGTATTTTTCGTAGCAAGAACATTGATATTTTGAGTGACACATTGAAAGACTTCAATTTTAAGAATTAAAATTGAATTAAAATTAAGATTAAAATCTGAAGCACTTCTGCAATGTTAACAAATCTTGCCAAATGCAGATTACATGTGAGGGTTTTCTATAATCTAACATTAGCAGATGATTCAAGAATTTCTGTTAGGCTTAGCATGTCAAGTTTCTTTTGTTTAAATTATATTTGACAAATTTTATAATTACTTTTTTAAAGGCTTATAGATACCTTAGAGAAGAAGTGAAAACTTTCCAAGGAAAACCAATTAAGGTAAATAGAGCTTTATGGGATTTTTTTGGGGGGGGGAGGCATGTCTGTATGTGCTGGTTTTGTGGGGGCTCAGTGTATTTTCTAATGTAGATGCAAGTGGTGCAATCTCAGCAATCATTTAACCTGGAAATGGGCTTTGAAATGCAGCATATGCTATTTTACTTGCCCTTTTCCTCCTTTCTGGTGGCTGTATATCCATCCCAGCGTCGGGTCAGCTGGGAAGCACTCAGCTGTTCCTGTGTTCCCTGAAGGAAAAAGTGGTGACTGACAAGTGTCCAGTAAAAGTTGGAGAGCAGCTAGTTTGAACCATCCTGATTTCATCCGAAAGGCTGCTGTAGGAAATAATCTAATCTCGTTTGCAGGCAAGGATAAAAGCAAAGGCAATAGCTATAAACACTTTTTTGCCAAAGAATGGATACAGACCTCTGGATATGAACCTCTACACGCAGCAGCGTTACACAACATCCTTTTACTTACCTCCAGTATACAGTCCCCATCAGCAGTTTCCATTGTACAGCTTGATTGGCCCACAGACCTGGTCAGCCACGCACAGCTACCTTGACCCTTCATTGGTAAGTCTCTTGATTATCAAACAGCTACATTCTTATTTATTTTCTTAGGAAGTCTTGAGGTGTAGGAAGCATATGTATCCTGAAGCAGGGAGTTTAAGGTACTGATTCTGCTTGAAAAAACAGTTCTTCAGAATTCTTCCTGTGGGGTACGCGATTAGTTATTTGAAAATTGCATCTGGTCTCAGATTGCAGTGTGATTCTCTTCTTAACCTTTTAGGTTTTTGAGGCAGTTCTTTTTACTAAAGATCATTTATTAGCCACTACCAAAATACTAAGACTTCAGGTTAAAAGCTTCTGTAGAAATTGATTCTTCCAAATATGCACATGAATACCAGAACAAGCAATTCTGATACATACTGAATAAACTTAATGGAATTAGATAAATAAGGATAAGTTAGTATCTTGATCTTCCAGCAGGAAAATAAGTTCTGGGTTGACATGCTGAATTATGTTCTTAAAGTGAAGTATTTTCTGTGTGAAAGTAACATCTTTCTTGTCAATAAAATACAAAATTACTTTTGCTATTAAAAATCAATCACTTTAATTTCTGAATTTTTAAAAATTTTCTTAAAGGGGCGATCAGTAATCTTAGAGCCCTCTTCTACTCTAAAAGGACGTTGACTGCATGCTGCAATGCTGCTTCTGTTTTCTCCTCTCTTGTGTCAGTCCTTTCAGAATTACCTTGGGCCCCTTTTAGTCTGCCTTTGTTACCCTGCAAAAGCTAATATGAATATAGTGTTCTGTAATGACTGGAAGACTAAGTTTATACTATGTGGAACCCCTTTCTCCCCTCTTTAAATGCCTATTTACTGGCTGCTAAAAGAAACTAGAGTAGCAAATGCTCAAAATTAGAAGCTTTCAAGAGTTTTTTTGGCAGAGGATTAAAGTGTCCTTGAACAAACTTGAGCAAACTTCCTGCGTACCGAGCAGCAGCTAATTAAAAAGTTGGTGTGCTAAACATTTCACACACAGGGAAGGCAGCCAGAGCTCTTGCAGAGGAGGGCTTTTTAAGGGGGACGAGGAACATGGAGGAGACTAGGCTGTGTAGTGAACAATGTTATGCCAGGAGAAAGCCGTTTTATTAAGCAGCAATGAATGATTCTTCCTCTAGGTAAACTAAGAGTGATTATTGCACGGTCTTGCTGGGGGATGGTGAACTGGTTGGATGATACTAGTGTAGAACATGTAGATTAATTGGCCACAGGTCAAGCACAGCCATAGTGTGTGTCTGCCTTATGTCATCCTGGAACTCTGTATTCCAGAAACCTTACTAGTCCTGGCTTTTGGAGAGCAAGACATCGTGAGTTTGCCAGCATTAAAGATCTCATCCCTTTCTTAGTAAAAGCAGAAAATTAACTGGCAAAGCTTTGCCTCCCACTGCTCTGCAGCATATTGCCATTGGTTTGCTGCCTTTTGTGTACCTTGATTTAATGTGATGTTCCTCAAATGTTTCATAGAAAGAGCTGTATTTGGATAGAAATTACTTGAGAGAACAGGGATATGGAGAACAGTGGCATCAGAATAATTTTCCTGAGACAGGGTTGCAGTTTGCATGTGGAGACTTGAGTGCAAATAGAACAGAAGTTTCTCTCCACTTCTGCTTTGGCATAAACACTAACAGTGCTTTGTCTCATCTCTTGATTTGAGATTAAATGCACCTGGTAGTATAGGTATACAGTTTTAGTTCTCAAGTCCGATGATTTCTGTGGAGAAAGCAAATTGATGCTTTTGGTATTATCGGAAATCAAAAATGTTTTTTCCCTCTGGAAATATCACCTATCCTTATCAAGAAAGAAGATACTCATTGTTTAAAAGGATGCTAGCAATATTAGTTGTTTATTTTCCTTGAGTATGTTTGATGTCTTCTCGGATTTTGTAGTTGCTTGCTAGCTTCGATTGAGTTTTACAGTGTTCAAGTTGTAATTGTTAAAGCAGAAAGCACTTCAAAGCAGTATTTTTATGAAACTTTGTTCCTAAAGTAGCTTTATTAAACTCCTGATGGCCTATTTTTGGAGTCTGAGGTAGCATTTGCTCTCATGAGATCTAGATTAGGCTAACAGTAGGTTGGCGTGACAGCTTTGGTGTTAAATTTTCTTTTTTCATTGATTTAATGATTTGCTTTAACTTTAAAATGAAAGGTTAGACAAGCTTAAAGATACCTTTACAGAAAGCAGTCTTAATCCAAGCTATTTCTTATTTTAATTAAGTGTAGAAAGAGTGGTCTTATTGTTCTGCATTTTAGTTATTTTTCAGTGAGAGAAGACAAACATCTCATGTTACTAGTAAAATCTTTTAAATTCATACATTAAAAAAAGAAAAAAGCATGATAGTGAGATTGGAGAAATTATTATGAATGTATTTCATATTCTGAGATATCTTGGTAATACAGGACATTGATATGCGCCCACTCCAAAACATCTTTTGCTGATCTTGCTGCTTAAGGCAACAAGACAGTAATTCACATGTAGAGTAAGGTGGTAAGATACAAAAGGAATTAGAGGTCCACTTAAAATCCAGTTATTATCTAGGCTTTATTTAGGTGTCACATGGAAGATAAGCAGAATGAGGAAGTAAAAGGTTTATTTTTTTTTTCTTTTTAGGGAGTTATTCACATATAAAGCATAAGAAAAACATTGAAAAGCTTTGTAGGTTAAAGACTCTTTGACCAAGTATCTGAAGTTGTGTATTGTATGTTGTGAAATAGAAGAAGGGTTACTTAGCTTACAGCCAAGAACTTTGGTTTTCAGTCCTCTTAAATTATCTGAACTTCACTATGTGTACTGGCTGTCTTCTCAAAAACCAGCATTTTCTAAGTTGGTTACAAGGTGCTGGACAAATGCTCTGTTGCTGTTTGAGTCAATCACTCAAGTACTGCCCTGCATAGAATGACAGGAAATACGAGGTTAAGTAAAAGTAGTTCTCAGTTTGGTTATAATTATGAGTATGCAATATATTCTTTAGGTAACGCCATTTCCAAATACTGGATTTATCAATGGATTCACATCTCCAACCTTCAAGCCTGCTGCTTCTCCATTGACTACACTCAGACAGTATCCTCCTAGGAACAGGCAAGTTCAATCATCTTTTAACAATATACATATTAGTTTATTATCTGGCATGTAGGGTTTTCATTTTGTTTGTTTTCATAATACCAGCTAACTTGAAAATACTCGTGAAATTGAACCTGGTGCAAGGTTACGTGAGGCCAAAGAGCAGATGGTGCAGATGGCTGTTAGTGGATATAGTGTTTCTAGGTGTAAATGGACTGTCTGAAAGCTGAGAACTTGTCTGCTCCATGATTTAGGGCATTCAGATGAAATATTCTGAATTATGGCATGTGATCAGCAGGATTATTCATATAGTAATTTCATTTTCAAGTAGGTTTTAGTAAAGCCATAGTTGAAAATAGACAGTGAAAAGGTTCATTTTTACAATTCACATGACCTGTTAAAATCAATATTTCCCATTCCTAAAAATCAAGTAGTCAATAAAGGACTAAAGGTCTTGCTTCTTCTGGATTCTGTGTATAGACTTAGGCCTCAGAAGGTCTCTCATAGTGCGTATGTTGAAATGACTTTTGAATTTGTAGGAATCCTAGCAAGTCTCATATACGACATACAATACCCAGTGCAGAAAGGGGACCTGGGCTTCTAGACAGTCCTACAATATTCAACTTTTCTGCTGATCGTTTAATCAATGGCGTCAGGAGTCCACAGACGCGGCAGCCAGGACAAAACAGGACACGGATGCAGAATGCTACTACGAGTTACACCAAGAGGGAAGTAGGAACTGGGAGGATGGAACAGACCAGTGTTGACTCATCTCCTGGATTAGGCAGAGGAAGGTGAGTGTATTCTGTGGTTATCCTCCGAACAACCTAGAACTGCTGCAGCTGGTTTGGGTGAAGGGGCACGGTAGTAGTACTGTCTCACTACTACTTTAAATTACTTCAGAGAAAGTGCTAAACATGGAACAAATGTGAAGTGGACCTGCATGCTTTCCTAGCAAATGAAAATCATTATTGACAACTGATGAACAATTTATAGCCATGAGATCATAGAATTATAGAATGTGTTGGGCTGGAAGGGACCTTTAAAGGTCATCTAGTCCAACCCGCCTGCAGCAAGCAGGGTCATCTCTAACTAGGTCAGGTTGCTTGGAGCCCTATCAAGCCTGACTTTGAATGCTTCCAGAGATGGAGCCTGCACCACCTCTCTGGGCAACCTGTTCCAGTGTTTCACCACCCTCATAGTAAAGAACTATCCTTTCTTCATCTGTTGTAAGAAAGTTCTTGCATGTTATTTGTTCTACTTGAATGAAGCTGTTTGGCCCATTCTGTTGTTCAGTGTAGATGGTGCATCTGAACCTATACTAGCAGGGCACATTCCTAATTTTTTCAGTTGAAAGATAGAGTTTTGCATGGACATTTACAGCAACAAAGATGATGGATTGGTGTGGAGGGAGGAAGAAGGGTTGCATGCTACTAAAAAACTGTTGTTACACATTTAAAAACACAAACAAAAAACATACCAAAAAAAAACAACACTCAGAGAGCTGAAAATTGGTGGCACCACTATTAATGTGAGGATTTAGCAGACTTAACTTGGAATTTTTTTAATCCAGTACAGTTCTAATAAGTGCTTGTGCAGCTTTAATGATGGCTGTGTTTACGTCTGCCAAGTAAATCACATTTTGAGTGACTTAGTGAATTGGAAGATAATTTGAGTCTTTTGCAGATGATCCTGTATTAGACTTTTATTGTATCATTGCAAAATTAAGTGGAGATTTTATGCAAGGATTGTAATACTTTCCTAAACCTAATTTGCCAAATTGCATTATAACTAGTAGATAAAAGTGTGATTAAGGACAGGAAACAAGATTGTTCAAACTATAGTCTACAAAAACATACGGAATAGTAAGTACTTAGATTTGTATTATGATGTTTTGGTATTGAATATGTTTAGAATATTAAAAGTCAAACAGAAAATTTAGCAAATATATTGAAACCCGGTTAGAATGCATTGCAAAATTTAAACTGCTGCTTGGAAGGGACTTGATGTGAAGCAGAGCTGGGGGGGCAAGCACTGGAAATGCTTTGGAGGGGCTTCACCTGAATTGAAAATAGTCAGCCATATTTCAAAAGTTTATGTAGATATAGTAAAAAAGCAAACAAAACCCCCAAAGCATTTACTCTGCATGTTGAAAGGTTTTGTTTAAGCTTTATATGTAATTGGCACCAAGATGCTTTTAATGCAGGAATTATTTGTAACCAGTGTATTCTTATGCTGACTTATATGAGATCCATACTTTCATTTAAATGAGATCTTGCTGGATATTTTTCCATAAAACATTTTTTATTAATAATCCGTCTATAATGAAGATAAATCAAATAACAATTTTAATTAATTTCTCATGTTTTTACCAGTTGCCTTCCATTCATTTATAGGCAAGGTTCTGATAACTGCTTTCTTTCCTTTAGGAAAAACTCATATGGCTACCGAAAGAAAAGGGAGGACAAGTTTACAGTGAGTGTTCATGATTGTATTAATCTATAAAAGTAGGGTAACAAGGCAATAATACGGATGCTATGCGGAGTAGCAGGTGAGAGAGGTTATTGCACAAGCAATTGTATGTCACAGTTCACAGCATCTCACTGGAGTCACAAGTTTACTGTATTTGGGTATCAGATTGCCCATCTATGCAGAAGTCAGGAAAAAGTTAAAATAACAAAATTTCTGTCTGAGCGTTACTTTGTCAGTATGCCAGTGTCCACATTCAGGGGGAGATAAATAACTAAAGTTCAAAATATTTGATGCTTTATCGTTCATATCAACTTTAAAGAACATTTTATAGATTCACATGTCATAATTTATAGCTAGAATCGTAGTTATTAAGTGGCTGGTTCTGTTTCTTAAATGCCTCTTCAGGTACGACTTGGTAAACATATACTAACATCCTTGAAATATTACGGTTTTGGTAAACCTAAGTTCATCACTTAAATGATACTTGAAAAGGCTGGATTAGATATGGTGTAGAAAGAAGAAAAGTGTGATACTTTGGTAGGACTCTAAGGTTTGATTTGATAAAACGAGACACTCCTCCGCAATTCAGTTTTGCCACAGGTGGCATGCTCTTGATGTTGAACCAAATTATTTTCTTATGTTACAATCGCAAAGTAACCTCACTGCGTGAGCCTTAACTCTCTTAAAGAGCTAAAATAGTTGCATTTGTGTATTTGAGGCTCCTGCTGTTGAGTAGTCTTAAGAGACTTGGATAAAGACACATCAACCTTTGGTTGCTTTTAGTTCTCGTCAAACTTGACAAAGCTCAGTGAGGTCAGTTGACATGCAGGTTTCTCAGTATTTCTTCTGCCCTTTCAAAGCTATCTGCATTTTTTAATTGATGTTTTCCTATCAACACATTTTTCTGTCTCTGAAGGAAGAAGGAAGTGATACAGGTTAGACACATAAGAGAGTGGCTGGAGTGAAATGATTACCTTTGACACCCTTACTGAGCAGAGAGGCTCTCACTCAGTTGACTTTATAAAGGCTATTTTAAAACCAGTTGGTGTAACAGCTTTAGAGACTCACAGTTCCCTTCTCTCAGCACCAGTGCAGCCAGTGCCACCAGGTTCCTTCCTGGCCCATGAATCGAGTCTGTACTGTCCAGAGGTGCAGCTTGAAGAGAAGTGAGAGCTGCTGCAGTCCCACAGCTGAGTACACGGGGAAGTTACAAGATTAAAGTTTGACCCCTTTAGACTGCAGAAATAATTGAATCCAGGATTCTATTTCCTGTGTGAGGCTGTAGTGATTGGATAGTATACATAGGACATGACTGCCACCAGTTGTATTTGAATGGAGTGATGGCATACATTTTTTGTGAGCTTGTTTTTTAATTAAAAAATATAGAGGACATGCATGCTTGCATGAGAGAGCATGAGCCTTTTTGATCAGATTGTATCTGAGGCTATAAACATAAGCCAATTACTCAAGTTGTCATTAACAAGTTGACTTGAGAAATTTTATATGGTTAGCAGCTTGAAATCCATTTAAGTCCTCCCTGATCTCACTAATTAGTGAGACATTAACATCTTAAGATGCTAATGCTACTTGTCTCATAATATGTTGGTGTTTTTAGGACTCATCTGTAAAACTGAAAATGTTTATAGCAAATAAAGAGCATTGTCTATTGCAAGACTTCAAGAAAATGAAATGCTGTGACTTGAAGAACTGTTCTAAAAAAAACAAACACCAAACCCCATGCCAAACATCGTTCCTTTTGCAGTTTGAACTAGATAAGTGTAGTCCCTCTCCATGACCCTTTGACAGGTTATCTGATTTCTGGTTTTGGAAGTTTGCAGCCTCCATTGCTGAAGCCCTCTTAAACTGCGTTCTAGGGAGTAAAGTTGAGTCAATAGCAGTCCTAGGAGTTGCAGTTGTTCTTGCCTCTGTATTTATTTGTTCCGTTCTCCCCCTTCTATGCTCACTTCTTTTGACATAAAGTTTGTGAAAAGACCTCAAGGGTAACTTGTATCTATTGTTCTGCATGAGAAGGAGGGGGGAAAAAAAAATAAGAAATGCAACACTGCTCTGCCAGTTGCGTTGTTCTCACATCCAGACCATCCTGGCTATATACCCATAAATACTTTTCTTTTCAAATTGAGCATTGTCTCAAAAATTGCTTTGCATTTGGTATTCTGCAGCAGAGCTTGTCTTAGCACAAGCCCAAGTACAGTCATGAAACTTCTTTGTTTACATGATGTAGGTAAAGTTAATTGGTAACTTCATTTACAGCATATTAAAAAAAGAATTTTATTTTTTCAGTATAAATAGAATTTAGCTTTACAAATCCTTACAAGTGATCCTCACTAGTGATATTTAACTGTGATACTCTGAACTCCTCTGTAGTGCAAAATAGTTGCATTCAGCCCATTGAGGATGATTGGGTTTTTTTGCATGGGACCTTGTTTTTCTTAGATTTAGTTAGAAGAATTCTGCCTGTGTCAGGAATAGTTTTGATGTTTATCCTTGTGTTTTTACAAAGTGACCATATAAATTGGATGAAAAGTTGTTGTCTGTGCTATGTGTGAGGCATGCTGTCTTGCTATTTCTTGATATGTCTGAACATGAGGTAAGATTCTTGTTGACTCCCGGTTTTCATTTAGAATGTTACCAACTGCGGGTAAATGGGCTTTGTATTTTCACTATATTGTGATATCCAAACTAGTATTTTTCCGTTTTATGTCAGTGTAAGTGTCCAACCTGAAGGAACTGTCAGGAAGGCTTTTACTGTAGCTTGTGTGTATGAAATCTTCAAGGATGCTTATGCCATCCCATTCACATAATAGTTAAATATTTTAAGGGCAGTAGTGGAAAATAAAAGCATCTATTTGTCAGTACTGTGTGGGTTTCCTGGGAGATGGGATGGGGGAGGCCTCTCTAAGACTTGACAGATATAAATCAAATGCAAAATACGGTTTCAAGTCACATGCCTGTCTTTTTCTGTCATCCAGTGCAGTAACCTCAACATGTTATTTCTATTCCAGAGAGGTCAAACACAGTCTCCACCACCCCCAAAACCTCCATCTCCTAGCTTTGAATTGGGTTTATCTAGCTTTCCTCCATTACCTGGGGCTGCTGGCAATTTAAAGACTGAAGACCTCTTTGAAAACAGACTGTCCAGTGTGGTGATAGGAACAACAAAAGAAAGAGTGAGTAGCCAGTATTCATTTTCATTGGGAAAACCAAGAATTACATACCTCGTGTTTTCAGATTGGTGGCTTATATGTAAAACAACAAGTTTTTTTTTTTTACATGTGTCATAAAAAATACTTTAAAAAAACCTGTCAGATGATGTGCTGCTGCCTTATTCATTTATATCTTATAATTTGTTGGGTATTCTCTTTGAAATGGTGTGGAATATGAGCGCCAGTACAAGGAGATGTTAATAGCAGAGATTAGAAAATTTGCTCTTTGCTGTTCATGATTGTCTCAGGCTTTTTGATAGACTCAGGTGAAAGATGTGATAAATTTCCCTTCAGTTTGAAAGTCAGACTTCCAAGTTGTATATAAACCACTTTAAAGTGACAGAGACAAACTTTTAAGCACTGAAATAGGAAGAAGCTGCTTACATAATGGCAGTACACTAGGCATCATAGCTGGAACAAGAACTGTTACCAAAACCAGCTGGATCCCAGTGTTATCTTGTCATATTGCTTGGAGAGATAAAAATACATCAGAATGACTTGGCAACCACTGCTTTCTAGATGTAGTAGAGATGCAGTTGAAAATTAATGTTCAGTAGCTGTTCATAGATTTCATTCTTAGAACTGTCTCTACCGTGCCATCTGTGAGTGACAGTATGTTCCTCTCCATCAGGACTCATATAACCCTGTGCAACAGTCTAGGCTACAGAAGTCTGTACTGTTTGTATTTTTTTCTTTTGCTAGCTCTGATTTAACTTGTTCAGTTGTGGCACAGCTAGAAAACAACAAGTTAAACCCTGGATATAGCTGTGCAAAGTGACCTGATGAAACACCAGAATCTCTCTTGTGTCTTGTCTCTGTAAAACAGTCTGTTGCAGAAGTGTTTTCTTTGGTGCCCACATATCCAGGGTGGGTAGGGAGGGTATTTTAGTAAAGGAAAGAGGAAGCAGCAGGGCAGCCTGCACCTGAAGCAGCGATTTGCAGACAAGCTGTCTGTCTCCTGCAAATGGTAACAGGGACAATTAACATTCCAGGTTTGAATTTAAGGGGGATGTGTGAGACAGTTGTTGAGGGTTAGGGCTGCACTGGCCACTGAATGCTGACAGATGCTCTCTAATCCCTTTTTCTCCCCAAATGGGAAGAGAAAGGGAATAAAGCAGAGAGACTTGCTGATTGGAAAACTCAAACAGCTTTAATAAAACAATGATGATGCTAATACGGAAATAATGAAAATAATGAACTGTATACAAAGAGGTACAAAACCAATATCAAACCTGACTCCCCCTCCCTTTAATAGTAATTCCCACTGATGCTGCAGAGCAGGCGGCACCAGGAGAGCCCCAGGCTCCGCAGCAGAGGGGAGCTGGACGCAGAAGCTGGGTTTGAGAACTCGAGATCAGGATCAAAGGCAAAAGATTGCATGGAGTCCTCCTTGGATACTGACCATTGAAGAAAAAAGGAGTACTTAACCCCTGTGATCCTCAGCTCTATACTGAAGGTTACATACATGCAATGGAATGCTGTTGTTGGTCACCTGTCCTTTCCATTACTCCCTGGAGTTGCAACCCATCACTTCCCAGCACTCCCAGCGTGGCACATGAGATCGAGCAGTGACCTTGGTCACTACAGGAATAAGTATAAGGAAGAGTGTCTCTGCATACCAATCCCAGGTAGTAACTATAAACAACAGGTGTTCACTTCTAGTAGCAGACAGTGTCTGCTAAAAAACACTCTTAGCTTCACAAAGTGCAGCCTCTTAGAAGAGGCTGAGCTGAGAATTAAAACCATTGAGCAGAATTGGTTCTCTTTAGCTCAGACCAGGACAACAGTGTTTTAAGAGCATTGTTTAACTCATTGTCAGCCAGACTGTTGTCAGTTCTTGGCCAAGTTCTATCTTTTTTTGAAGTATTTTGTCTCTGTTATTTCTGAAGTGGTTTTTTACTATCGATTTCAGGTTTGAGTATGATTCCAGCACTTGCTATTGACATTGCAGCTGAAAACGCATTGTTCCTCCCATTACAAATCTAGAGCTTGCTTTGCCCTGTACTTACTGTAAAGAACTTACAGCTCTCTGTAGAGACAGTCTTAAAACCTCAGTGCCTGACTGCTATTATGATAGTGCAATGTGCTGGCACATCAAAAAGCTTCCTTTGATTTCCTAATTTCTTCGTCTGTCTTGCATGAGTTAGTCTGTACCATTGTGTGGAAGAAAAGGATTGCACTATCTTGTTGGCATTAATAAGGAATAAAATTACACGGCAGCTGGCTCTGAAGTGTGACTGTGTTCTGCTACAAAGTGTTGGAGTTAATCTTAGAATCTCGCCAAGGTATACAGAGAGCTTTTCGCCTTGGTCACAACACTTTTTCGTGTCACCTGATGTAGAGTTAAGCTACTCTTGTTTTATAAATGGGCAAGCCTGGTGTATAGAAGCTGAGTGAATTTAGGTTGTATAATTTCCAGCAGTTGTTATCCAAGCATTGTGTCTTCATGCTCTTTACTTTGTGATGCTCCTCTAGATGTAGTTCTGGGGCATGGTAGATGTTCATCATCCCACATTTTCTAACTAGGAAGCTGCAGCGCTGTCAGGTCTGGGGTTGAGTGTTTTGGCCTAGGAGCAGAACATTTGCGTGACTTGAAGCTGTTAACACTAAACCATGTACTTACACGTTTTGATGAACTTGGACCAGAATACTCAGTAATTTGTGGTTTCAAGACTTTGCATATGCTGTTATAGTGAGTAAAACTAGAAGCTGGTTTTTTATTTCTAAACATCCACCTTTTATGATTTTACTTGTACTTTGAGTAGAGCTAGGCTTAGATCAACTGCAGTATGCTGTGCTGCCTGATTTAAAGCAATGTCATCAAATACAGCTTTCCTTTCTGACAGTGACCACAGGAGTCTTGTGTATTATGACCTTTGAGTGGTGGCTGTGCTGGGGTAAAGGGGTGATTATCTTGTTCCTTCTGTCCTTGTTGTCTCATTGCTCTCCCTTCTGCTTACTGGAATCTGTTCTGGTTCTTGAGTCAGACAGGTCAAAAGCAACACAAAAACCACAGCACTTGTTAAAGCAAACAGAATGGTTATAAATGTCAGAAATAAGTTTTTACAAGATACAAAGTCCTCTTTCTCTTATTTGGTGACAAATTGGTACATGCATCTTGAACCTATTTGGCATTTATCTGGAAGCACAATATAGCCTGGCACTAGCAGAAAATTTTGAGGGCTATGGAAAAAGCCTCTTTGCCTGGTGGCAAATCACACTAAAGCAAAAGAAAGGAACTTCTAAATGATGGTTGTATCCCGGTTTGCAAAAACTTCAGTGATTTTTGTTGGATATTGGTTTTGGGTTGTTTTGGGGCTTTTGGGATGTTTTTTTTAGGGGGTTGTTTTTTTAAGGGTAAGGTTTTTCTAGCATCAGCTATTAGAGTGTGTTAAATCTTTGAAGAAGACAGTTCTTGGTGCATAAGTCTAGGGGAGTTTTGTCTTAATAGGCTAACTATGCTTATGTGAACAGGTGCAAAGTCTACTTTACCACAAGTAGGTGCAAAATTCCCAGGCTGAAAGAAGTAATTTTGTCATCCAGATATGTCCCAAAAGGAGCTAAGTTTCCAACTTTTTTGGGAAAGAGCCACAGTATGTGATTTGTTTATGTTTCTAGATAATTGTAAAGGAAGAAAACTTAATTGTTACAATAGATATATTGCATCCTTCTGTATCTTCCTGTACATAATATACCCCTATAAATAAGCTTCATAGAGTCATGGAATGGCCTGGGTTGGAAGAGACCTTAAAGATCATGTAGGTCTAACCCCTCTGCTATGGGCAGGGACACCTCCCACTAGACCAGGTTGTTCAAAGGCCCATCCAGCCTGGTCTTGGACACTCCCAGGGCTGGGGCATCCACAGCCTCCTTTGGCAACCTGCTCCAGTGTCTCACCACCCTCATAGTAAAGAATTTCTTCGTAATGTCTAATCTGAATCTACTGTCTTGCAGTTCAAAACTGTTACCCTTGTCCTCTCACTACATTCCTTGACAAAGGGTCCCTCTCCTTCTTTCCTGCAGGCCCACTTTAAATACTGGGAGGCTGCTATAAGGTCTCCACAGAGCTTTCTTTTCTCCAGGCTGAACAGCCCCAACTCACAGCCTGTCCTCGTATGGGAGGTGCTTCAACCCCTTGATCATCTTTGTGGCCCTCCTCTGGAGTCACTCCAACAGGTCCATGTCTGTCTTAAGCTGCAGGCCCCAGAGCTGAATACAGCACTGCAGGTGGGGTTTCACAAGAGCAGAGCAGAGGGGCCTGCTAGCTGCGGTTCTTTTGATGCAGCCCAGGATGAGATTGACTTTCGGAGCTGTGAGCACACATTGCTGGCTTATACTCAGGTTTTCATCCACCGATGCCCCCAAGTCCTTCTCCCCAGGACTGCTCTCAATCTGCTCGTCACACAGCCTGTATTTGTGCTTGAGATTACCTCAACCCAGGTGTAGTAGGATCTTGCACTTGGACTTGTTGAGCTTCGTGAGGTTTGCACGGTCCCACCACCTCTCAAGCCTGTCCAGATCCCTTCCCTCCAGTGTGTAAACCGCACCACGCAGCTGGGTGTCATCGGCAAACTTGCTGAGGGTGCATTCAGTCCCACTGTCCGTGTTGCTGATGATGTTGGACAGCACCTGTCCCAGTACTGACCCCTGAGGAACACCACTTAGCACTGAGGCATCACTCCACTTGGGCATCAACTACAGCTACTCAGCTGTTACCAACCTGCCAGTTCCTTGGTCACTGTCAAAGCCACATCTCCTCAACTTAGAGACAAGGATGTCGTGTGGGACAGTGTCAGAGCTTTGCACAAGTCCAGGTGGATGATGTCAATTGCTCTTCCTTTATCCAATGAGACTATAACCCTGTTGTAGAAGGCCACCAAATTTGTCAGGCATGGCTTGACCCTAGTGAAGCTGCGTTGGCTGTCGCCAATTAATTTACAAACTGTTCCCTGAATGTGTTATTTTACAGGCAAGCTATATTAACTGGATATTATGATTGCCATTCTTTTTTTCCTCCTCCAGAATGTTAATGTGGATGCAAGTACGAACACTATTCCACTGGGAATTCCTCGAGAGCCGTTATTGCCAGTTTCTTCTCCATTGCCCAGGACGTTTGAGAGGTCTCCTTCGCCATCCCAGTCTTCTGAGTAAGCACTTAATTACGTGGTTGTAATTATTCTTCTGTGAATCACATTTGCATTTTCTGTCATCAGAAGGCTAGGTGGAACACTGTAAACAGCTATTAAAATTTTAATCAATGACAGATAATATTTTGTTGTGTATTGTAGTAAAGGCAATAAAGCTTGATTTCTAAACAGCATCATAATAGTGATTCAGTCATAGTCATTTAGCAGACAAAAGTTTAGTGCTGTATTTTAGTCTGTGCACGTATTTAAAAGTTTAATGACTACCTTACTATCTTGTATTTAGAAAGCTTTGAAGCATAAAGGGAAAACCCATGATGGTGTGGGCAGTACCATTGTCAATACAATAAATAAAGATTTCAGTAAGACTGTTTTGGAACCTGCAAGTCAAATTGAGGTGTGTGACTAACAGGAGTACGATAACTGAATAAGCAAATGCTGTCCAAATGTCACAAATTACAGGTACTGTCAAGTTCCACAGGAATATTTTTATTTTCTTAATATTTGATAGTGTTTTTAAATGCAATGCCAGTCATAATGTGCTAGGCAAATTACAGCCATAACTTTCTAACAGTAAAAAAAAGTTTCAGACCCATTATTAGATTATCAGTATATTGTGATGTTTCATTTTTCATGAGCGTTGCTTCCTGCTGGATGTTTACAGAGACTCCAAGGTTGTGGATAAACAGCCGAGAGAGACACAGAGTACAGAAAGGCTTTCTTCTTCCACACTCAGTACTGCATGTAAATCGGTACAAGTCAATGGGGCTGCCATAGTAAGTGACCTTATTACTTCACTTTCTCTTAATGATCCGGTTTGATGTGTTTAATAGGATATTGCTTCTGTTGCTACCCAGAGATGCTTAGTCATGTAAGCTCCAGTGTCCTTAAATTTGCATGTTGGTGGCTTCGTGGTTATTTGCGTGATCCAATTACGCAATTAATAGTGCAAAAGTGGTCAAGGTAGTCATGTGATTGATAACTTTATCTGAATTCTCTTCTTGGTAGTGTCCTTGAGGTAAAAACATTAATACTGATGTTGATATTTAAACCAGAGTACTCGTTGTCTTCCAGCTGTTCTAGAGTTTGCTTGAGTCAGTGTTTTGCCCTACCCCGCTATCCCCTTTTTCCAGCATACTGTGTTGCATTTTACCTTGTCTTGAACCTTACTGGGTCTGTACAGCTTCTGTAAACTTGATACTCAAGCTCTCACCCACATGTTTTAGCACGACGGTGTTTTGGGTCAAAAGTTTTTACCTCTTCTGTTCATAAAATAAAAGATTTTTCCTTAAGGTGCTTTCTTTAACTCTGCTGTCCTGTTTGCTTTTGATTTCGCAGGAACTGCGAAAACCTAGTTATGCAGAAATTTGCCAGAGAACAACTAAGGATCCTCCTACATTGCAACCCCAGAAAGAACAGAAGCCAAACACTGTAGCATGTGGGAAAGAGGAAAGAAAGCCCACAGAAACAATAGAGAAAAACAGAGAACCTCCTCCTGCAAAGTCACATCCTGGACAACCCAAAGACCAGAGGAGACAGTCAGGACGCAGATCATCCCCTCCAGCCGTTGGCAAACGCGTAAATAAAGAACAGAATACCCCTCCAAAATCTCCTCAGTGAAGCTAACGCCTGGGAGGGATTTGAGAAGAGGTCTGCTTCCCACAAATTAAACCCATGTTCCCAATAAAGATGCCTGAGAATGAGTTGCTGGTTAGGAGCTTGCAGTGATACTAGGCATATAACAATGCCTGCAAGTTATTTTTCTGTGAAATACTTTTTCCCCCCTCTTGAACAAACATTCTATTTTTTCTGGATATTTCTGGATAGTTGTTCTAAACCTTACATTTAGGTTGGTGCTTAATTGGAGGTGAAGCTTAGTGTGATTATTTTTTTCAAGATGTAAAATATTTGTCTTTAAAAAGAAATCAACTTTTTATTAAGCCTCTCTGTGGCTGTGTGAGTGCAAGCTCTGTACAGTGAGTTTTTTCTAAACTGTTAAGCAGAAATGTGCTGCTGCAATGCAATATTTTTAATAAACTGGTCTGCAAGTACATATCTAAAGTGTCCAAAAAGACTGATAACGGCAGCTAGTGTGTAGAGTGCAAGGAAGTAGATATATTTTACAAATTAGTATGTGACTTTGAAGATTTTTTTTTTATTATTATTGGGCTGCTGTACTAAGTGTCAGCAAATGAACTTGCACTTTTAGGTTAAAAAAGTAGTTGTTTCTAGCGTTTTTAAGAATTTAATTTTTTGTTCATGTTTTGCACACACAAAATGAATCCTACAGAGCACCATAGCAGTCTTTCTGAAATGTTTCCTTTTTTGACTTACTGCAAGCAAGTAACCATCTTCTCACTCCAGAATAAAATGGATGTTATAATTTGCAAATACAAAGCACATTGTGAATAGAAAGAATTAAGTCTGTGAGCTTCTATGGTGGTGAAGCCTGTTAGTGGATGCTATCAGGAGAAAGCCCTGTTGCTTTCTTGTGATAACCTGAGCTTCCCTGTGCTTGTAAGGGAGTTAACTGAGTCAGCGCTGTATGTTCTGGTTACCCCTGTGCTCTGTGTAGACTTTTTTTTTTTTTTTAAACTCAGCCCCAAGTGCTCTTTGAAAGAGTTCATATCTTAGTCAGCCTTGCGTTGACATCTTCCTGTAACTACAAGCATTGGCATATGGATTGAAATTCTTTTCAAGACGTGAGATAATGGTGTTTGGTTTGTGTGGTAGAAGAAAAGATCCCTGATATTTACCTCTGGGATGAGGTTTCTCACACTTATTTACTTTAGAAGTGATGCGCTTTCTGAAGGACAAGGATGCACTAAATTAGCAAGTTTCTAATAAAGTTGAATATAAATTATTTTTGTTTTAAAATGCCTAAAGATTTTCTTTAAGTGTTTAAACTGCAGGAAGTTCGGACAAAACTCATTCCTGCAGACTATGACAGTACAGTTTATTCCGCAAAAATGTTTATTTAAACAACTGATTTTTTTAAAGAATTATTTCCATCCAATATTTAAAGACTTGAATTTTATTTAAACTTGAAAATGACTTTGCCTTAACTTTTGTACAAGACAGCTTAGAGTTAATGAGGTCTGACCCTGTGGAGGGTTAGTGTGAGTGGAATACAGAATTACTCAGTTACAGTATGTATCTATTGTCACTGGTCTTACTGGGTAAACATACTGTAGTACAGGAACTAGCAGCAGTTTTTGTAATATACCTTAAAGATCTTACACAGTTGATCTTTTTCAGATTGTTGAAAAACCTGTAAATGCAAATAGTCAATACTGTATTAAATATGTGCACTTGGAAGTGTGTGCTTTGCTTGTACAGTTGTAAATAATCAGAACATATAAAAAGGTACCCTAAAGAAAAAATCTGATAAAAATTATTGATATTATAAATGTTGCTGTTGAGCTGGATGTAGATAAACTAAATGTTGTGGTTTGAATATTACTTTAATTTGTTGTTTTTTCTTTTTCTTATTTTTATTCTGGTGTGCTGAACTGACTCTGCCTCTTCACTGCAAAAGGGAAATGGAATGAAAGTCTTATTTGAAAGCCCTCAAATATTTTCCTAAGACCCTCTAAAACCAAGCGATTTAAATTCAAAAGTGTTCTACAATGTAAATAGTGAATTTCAGCAGTCAAACTGTAATTTTAAGTCATTAATAAAATCAAATTTAATTGGGAAAAAAAACTTTTTAAACTGCTACAAAACTATACACTGAAGCTTATTTGTCTGCTTTCAAGAATATCAGTGCTCTCCTTAGTGTATGATTTGTAGAACTGTAAAGTAACTATAGAAGTTGACTCCTGATAAATTTCCTGTTACAAGCATCAATTGGTGACTAGTTGACCTTTTAAATCCAGCCTCTTCTATGCTGCAGATTTGGTCAAAACAAGGCATGCTGGAATCTGTTGATTATTTTTTTTTGTGTTTTTTTTTGTTTTTTCCGAAAAGCGCACTTTGTGAATTCTGTGGGAGGAGATAGAACTCTGACGACACCACCAAAACTGCTTGACTAGTTCTGTGCTTGGATTTTTAATACGACTCTCCTTTCCCCAGCGGCAGTGAAAGCGGTAGCTAGATTTGTGTATGGTGTAGGCCAGCTGTATGATTCATTTTGTTTGTCTGCTGCAAGTGAAAGGCTTTTGACCAGCTGCAAACAATCGTGAGTGGTTCCTCCCAGCGACTGTGTACAGCTGGTCGTAAAAACTCAACTGGTACCGAAGGTAATCTGTGGAGACCAGCGGGATGTGTTGTGCTGTTCTAATGTATTCTGCTGCCATTTGTGCTAGGTCAATACACTGTAATTACTGCTTACCCAGCAACAGTCTGTTGCATTGAAAGTTTAAACCTTCTCTCATATGGTTTTTATAGCTTTTTTTATTTTTAAAAAAAGAAAAAAAAGTGACACACCAAATAGCTGTGTAATATACAACTTATCCTTACTTTCAGATTTATTTTTCTTTTTTCCACTCAGTGATAAAATGGAGTTTTCAGAGTAGAGTTGTGAAGTTGCATGCAGACTGTTGCTACGATACATAGCGAGATTAAAACGTGACTTCTAAAATATAAAAAAAATCTCCCCAAAGCAGTAGCTGAGTTAAAGGTTCGGGAATACAGTAATTAAAATTGGCATTTTACCTTGTAGGCCTGTGTGGTGATGCTTTTTATTTTGAAAAGTCAAAATGGGATCTGAGACTCTTCTAGGAATTTAAAAAAACACCACAAACAACAAAGGCTGCTTTTAAAACTTAATATTGTTTCAGATCAGTCCTCCCTGCCCGTGACACTGTCATTTGCCACTTAGGAACCTGCAAACAGCGGCAGATTGATTTTTTTTTTTTTTTTTTTTTTTTAAAAAAGCTGCATTTTTGGCCAAAGACTTGAGCAGTTGGTGTAGAAGGGCCCGTGTCTGAGCATGGTGCGGTGTATCGGGAGCAACAGCTGACTGTGATGGTGCATTCCTATCTCTGTATCTCCTTCAGCTAGCTACAGGTAGGGATTTTCATGTGCTTTGTAACCTATTACACTAATAGCAGCAGACAATCGAAGATTTCTAAGGAGACCTAACAGCTGCCAATTCACGAAATAGAAGTGTAATACGGGAGCCTTCTTGAGGGTTTTTGTTTTTGTTCTTCTTCCATTAAGACTGGAATCAAGCTTACATGTAAACTATCAGTAATTTAAGTTTCCTTTTGTGTCATAAAATGTAAAACTGTCTAATTTGAAAAAAAAATATGTAGGTTATGAAAAATAAAGATTTAGGCACTGTTGAATTCCTGATTTTTTTTAATTAAACCTTTCTTCAGCAGCATTTTTCATTACCTTTTGTCTTTTGCTCCCATTTTTGGAAATTGTGTATTTCTAATTTTGGGGAAGAAAAATCTTTGCTTGCTTTATGGTTCAGCACAGCTATTGTGGCTATCACCTCAGGCTATGTAGCAGCAGCAAGAACACCTATAATACAATTCTGAAGGCAGCAATATCTGTCTCTTACTGGGTAACTATGACTGCTTAGCTTTTTTAAAAACAAAAAAAAAGCTCATTTGATGGTTTATTTACTGGAGGTTACCTTCATTAGTGGTTTCCTCAAAGTCATAGATAAGGTGGTGGGTTGATCCTGAATGTGGATTTTAATGTTTGGGTTAGTGCTTTGACTCTTAAATCCAGAGATGTCCTGGGATTATTTTTGGCTGTGGCTTGTTTTGGAAGTAAATGCTTCTGGGATATCCTTCCTCTTAGTAAAGAATCTATTTTAGAAATACTTAAAACCCTTTTTCGTCTTTTTTTAGGTTTTTCTCTTACTCGGCTTTATCTGTCCAAGTTTTAACAATGGATGTAAGCATGGAGGTACTAACAGGTCCCTTGTTTTATAAGCATCTTGGGATGTATTGCAGTTTTATTCCTCAGGCTGGATGTTCTGTAAGGTTGTGGACAGGTTAGGCTGCTTGCTGCTTTATTTTCCAACTACTGTTTGCTCAACAAAATAGGGCAGCACAGGAGCACCAGTGTACAGTGGGCACTGCGAGTTTCTGCATGTTGAAGTTGGTTAAATGTTATTGACATGGACTACAAGTAGTTGAAGACAACTGATTTTTCACTTCAGTGTGGAGTGTCCTGTCCTTAGAACTCAGTTTTCTATTACTTAAAAGTGTAAAAATGCATGGAAATTTGTCAGCAATGTTGCCATAGTCCTAGTGTGGCTCTTCAGGACCACCCCAGCTTTTGCAGAAATCGGGCAGTGTCCCCTTTTTCCCAATCCAGAGTGATGTTTGATGATGGCTGCGCCAATATTCATGTTGAAAAAAATTGGTTTGTTTATTCTTGGGCACGAGGAGAAAAAAAAGAGTGTATATGCTATTGAGTATTCAGAAATTACTATTGTCACAGAAACTGTGACTCGTTCCATTTTGATCCTAGGGCTTCTTTAGAAAAAAAAAATTAGGATGTTTTAAGATTTGTAATATGCTTTTGCTTCATAAACCTCTAGAAGTTAAAACCTCCTATTTAGTTGGTTGTCATGACCAGGCTTATACGAGTGTAACCACTTAAGCCTGAGAAATGATTGAATTTCAAATTTTGCTGGTTTATAGCTGTAAGTAACGTTACCTACTTCATCTCTGCTTTTGAGAGAATAAGCTGTGTAGCAGTGTAGAGCCCTGGTGGCATCCAGTTACGGTAGCTCATTTCCTGCAACATCCACTCTCAGCGTGGGTACATT